GCAACTGTAGACATTATGCTTATTCTACACACCCTCGTCCACAATTTCTGGCGGCAGCAAAGGGGAAGCTTGGATTTAACATGATTATGGGTATAGAATAAGCATGACAAATACAGAAGTAGCTTCATGAACAACTTGGAGCATGTGAAAGTGTAAAGTAAACCAGAGGGAGTTTCTCATTATTGCTGACTAGAAGTCTAGGATGGCTTTGGTTTTTGTTTTTGTTTTTTTTTTGTGATTTTTTTTCAAGTGGACAAGTAAAAGACATTTGAAATAACACTGTTCTCAAGGGTGTTGATGTCTTTGCCAAGTTGAAGATTCTCCATCTAAAACAAATCAGAAAACCATCCCCTCTGAATCAGGTTTTAGGAGAATGATGTCTCCCTATTAAGGAACTGTAATTGATAACCTCGATATATACTAGAAAAGTATTCAGCATAATACTTGTACAGACCATTTTGGTACATAGACATGAGGTCATCCATATCTGATGACCCAATGTTGAATTAAATGGAGCATAAAACAGATGAGAAAAGGTGGGATCAATATAAGATGCATGGGAAAGAAAAGAAAAGAAAAGAAAAGAAAAGAGTTGACCTCCAATGTCCAGAGCTAAATGGGATATATCATCAGACTGGTTAGGCAAGAGAATTGTAGGGTCCTTCACCTCAAAATTCCCATGAATTGCAGCTCCACTGAGGTCCAGCTGAGGACGGGATGCGGACCGATTCATTGGATCCTTCTCCTTGTCTACTCCTCCTTCGATGTTGAGATTTTGAATACTCTTCTTCTTCTCCTCCTCATATATATCTTCGTCGATTCCAAGGTCCTCTCTACTTACACCGGCCATTAATCTCCCACAGTCCACCTGCTTCTTAACCACAAAACACGTCCAAGTTCAGAGTCAAAAAACACTGTTCTCTTATTTTGGTTAGCTCACCATTATCATTGTGTGAAGAGAGTGTCAGCCCAACAAAAGATTAACTACTCGAAATAAGTAAATACTCCGTAAATCATTAGAGAGAGAACGCCAAAGATTTAAATTGCTCGTTTTATTAAATTGGATGGGATGATGGGATGATCGAGATCAGAGGAGGAAGCAAAGAGAAGATATGGGGATATGATGGAGTGATGGACTGAGTCATCGGTGCCGAGATAAGTAAAACCGATGGTTTGAAAGTCTACCCCAACAATTCTTTCTCCTTTCATATTTTTATTATTCTGCAAAATCATTTCTATTACTTTTACTAATTTTTAACTTACCTATCAGTTCATATTTTTTTTACTAATAATATATTTATCACATCTTATTTTTAATCATCACATTAAGAATATTTTTGAAAGTTAATACAAAAACATCTCCCCATTTAATTTCCTAACCCTATGTTTGGTTCAAAAATTTGAAAGGGAAAAGAAAAGAAAATGAAATTGAAAAAAGTTTTTCAATTTGATTAGAGAGGAAAAGAAAAGAAAAGTGGATGAAAAATAAAATGAGAATTCAAAATGTATTAAGTGGAGGGAAATACTTTCAATGGCCAGGTACATTTTTCCAGCTTAATATTTGTTCAATAATTTTTTTAGAAAAACTAATTTATTAAGTATAAATTTCATTTCGGTAATTGATATGGTTTTTACGTTTCAAGTCATTTTACATTTATGTATAGTTAGTCACATATTTGACACGCAATTCGGATCAAAGAGTTAAAAGGAAGAGAAAGGGTACTAATTTAGGTCTTTAAGTATATGGATCAGGTTGGGCCGTCGGCAGGCATAGAGTTAATTCAACTCGAGCCCGATCATAACCGAACTGAGAATTCAAAAATCCAAACCCGACACGAAAGAATGAAATTGAATCCAACGTTAGTCTGGTCGAGTCCAGGTTCAGGATTTTTACTAACCCGACCTTAACCCAAATATTTACTCCCTCTGTCTCGCTATATTCGTCCACTTTTGACTTTTGGAACTGTTCATCTAAGCACTTTGACTCATTAAATTCTCTCAATGTGTAAGCCTAAATATAGTCATGTGTGATCTTGTTTGATTTGTCTTAACATATAGATTATTAATATATAATTTCTATAATTTTTTAATAAACAAATTGCAAGATAAAATGAATTGAAGAAGTGCATTGGATGGTGTGCAACAATGAAAGTAGACAAATATTCTGGGACGGAGGTAGTAAAACTTAAAACCCCATCTATGCTTCTGTATAGTAATGTGTATGATAAAATTTATTCTCTCATTTCTCCATTTCTAATTCATTTCAACATTTAGCTTCATCTCTCTTTTGGTAACATATCTCAATTGATACTCCCTTTGCAATTGTCACAAATTAATCTTGTTAATCATGATATTTTGTATTTATATTTTTGCTTTACATGAACCCGACATGTTGTCATCTCTATTCGGAGGTTTTATTAGTACAAAACACATACCCCGCCTTCAATGCTTATGGGCCCCCAGCCTCTACCACATACCAGTCTAGCTGGCCCAAACACAAAAAATAAAGTCTAGGCCTTGTTTTTTATAGGTGAGTTTTTACGGGCTGGGTTGAGATCTTGATCCATTATTGGATCTATACACAAGTAGTCAAGTACACAATTAAAGTAACAAAATAAAATAGATGAAATGAAGTTAAAAATGGAATGAGCTGAAAGATTTTAAAAATAGTTGAAATTAGACATTCTCGTCCAAAAATTAATGATAAAACTTAATGTATGAATTAAAACATAGTTTAAACATATTGTAACAATATATATACTCCGTAACAATGACGGAAACAACACACAGAAGGGTTTTTTAACATGCAATTTGCAATGGGTGGGCAAGCAAATGAAACTTCATTTTGTTGTGCACACAAATGATGTGTGTGTATGTTGAATGTCGTCCCAACTCTAAACTAGACGAATTAACTTACCATATACTAAGTAATACTACTTCATTCTCAACAAAAGTTTAGGGCCGTTTGATGAGTTTTAGGAGTACGATAAAATATGACATTTGAAATCTGAAATGATTTGTATAGATTTTGAAATCTGAAACGAAGTTGTTTGTAATAATTTAAAGTGAAATTTACACTAAATACAACAAAACATAAGCCATTTTCAATATAGAATTTAAATATTTTTATTTCCTATATAATACTTAATAATGTCTAGTGAAAAGAATAATGTCTAGTGATGGTGGATATTTACTTGAATAATGACTAATGAATAATTATCAATAGTCCTACATTGAAAAATAAAAATATATAGTTATATATTAAGAAAGTCTTTATGTTTTAGTCTTATTTAAGTCAATTCATCAGATTTAAAATCATACAGAGTATATAGATTTAAAAATATATATTAGGATTGTGTTAAGTTATGTACGGAGTCAATTCATCAGATATACTCCCTCCGTCCCACTCTTTTTGTCCACTTTCATTTTTGCACACCATCCAATGCACTTCTTTAAACCATTTTATCTTGTAATTTATATATTAAAAAATTATAAAAATTATATATTAATAATCTATATGTTAAGACAAATCAAACAAGATCACACATGACTATTTTTAGACTTGCACATTGAGAGAATTTGATGAGTCAAAGTGCTTAGATGAACAGTTCCAAAAGTCAAAACTGGACAAAAAGAGTGGGACGGAGGTAGTATATTCGGATTGTGTTAAGTTATGTACGGAGTAATATTGGGCGAGTTTCTCGAAATAAAAAAAGCCGAATAAAGCTGCTAATTCTACAACCAAAAAAGGGAGACCGAATGTTTTCCTTGGAATCCTTACATGCGCCATGTTTGCATTCCCAGTGCATAGTTCATCCCAAATTAACTTTTGACCCATTTTAATTGAAGAAAAAAGTGGGTATGTCCAATAATAATAAGTAAAGAAATGTTTTTTTTGATAGTACTCCGTCGGAAAGCTTAGCCACAATACTACCCGCTACCCCCGGAGTATAATACAACTCATTTAATTTAATCCACTAAATAAGAATGCAATTAATTAAAGTTAATAAAAGAATGATGACCAATTAATCGCCAATGAACAAATCGAAAACATGTACAACCATTATGTTTGATCTTTGGAACCATTACATGACTGCCTACTTTTGAAATTTCAAAGATGCCTTAAGATCAAGAAATTAGAGATACACTCTAACCACATACCCCATAATTGTTTGAGTTGCTATTATGCCAAAAATGGATATATACATATAGAAATCATTCTAAATAGAATTAAAATATAGAAAAAAATATTAAAATAGAAATTTCATGTTTTTATTCTCGAAATAGACTTCGCATTGGTGTAATGTGATCATAATCTGTCAGTGTACATTTGCACATTACTATACTTTTTGGTAAAGTATATGACCATGTTTGATTATGTAAATATATTTTAACTCTTATTTCGAGAATAAAATCATAAAATCAGTATATTTTCAAATGAGATTTTAGTTCATCCTTACCATATCTATTGCAAATAGAATGTGACATGAAAAAGATGGTGGGTGGGGTGTGAGAGGGGTTCCCTTATACCCTCTCCATTAAGTATGTATACCTTATATTGGTAAAACCTTTATACACGGATCGGAGTATATTTGTAAATTTAGTTTCAGTGGTTGCTGAATTAAGTTTTAGGGGCTGTTTGGCAACTTCTGAATGGGTAAATATTGAACCAGTAAGAGGCCTGAACCATTAAGTGCTGAACTAGTAAGAGGTCTGAACCATTAAGAGCTAGTATATTGCTAAATTATTCAGAGGCAAATGTCTGATCAATTCAGATAAGAGGTCTTAACCATTCAGACTCTGTATAATACTTAACCATTTAGAGGCAAATCTATTAACCATTCAGACATCTGAACCATTAAGAGGCTGAAACAAACAGTCTGAACCATTAAGTACTGAATCATTCAGACATCTGAACCATTAAGAGGCTGAAACAAACAGCCCCTTACTCTGTATAACTTAAATTCATAGAGTTGAGCTTTAATTAATGGTTTTGTACAGCAAAGCAAATAAAAAAAAAAAGAAGAAGCAAGGCATCTGATGTTCTTACACATTGGCGTTGCTTTACCCTGTACGCATCACATCCCAAACCTTTCTTTGCTTGCAATTCACATCCTTCGCCCCCCTCTCTCCCTCTCTAATTAACTCGATTCCTTCTCTGCTTTCTATTTCCAGCACATCATTTTTTACTGTGCAAATTCATTTCTGCAGCTAGTTTGGGTGGGATCTTCTTACTCCGCATTAATCAATGCTCATTTTTCTGTACGTGTTTCATTTCTTGCAATTTTCAGACATGTGATTGCCCTGATATTTTCTGTTCCATATATGTTTCCTGCCAGATACGAGTTTTGATCGGGTGGATGTTTAATTAAGAGAGCAGAGCTAGGATACGCATTAATAAATTAATTCTCCATCTTGCAGGCCAGGCCAATTTGAGTTCTTCATATATTATATATATATTGTACGTATAGTAGCTAGGTGTTTAGTCGATCGGCTGCAAGCGAGAATCAGCATATAAATATATATAATCATGATGATGAAGGTAGTAGTAGAGATGAGGCGGGAGGAGGTGTGGTCGCCGGGCGGAAAGAGTGGGTGGCAGCCGGTGATGACGGGAGGGGACACAACCGTCTCAACTTACTGGCTGAACTGGAGGGTGTTGCTATGCTGCCTTTGGATTTTAATGTCAATCGTTTTTGCAATTGTTCTGATAACAAAGTACGAAGGCAGCAGAAAAGGTGGTAGCACTAGTAGTGGAAACAGATCATCATCAGTATCATCAGAAAGAAGAAGAAGAGATGATGATGATTTGTGTGGGCAGCAGCAGGGGCAGGGGCAGGGGCCGGGAGTGTTATATGAAGATGAAGTTTGGAAGACAAGCCTGAAGAATGTGCACCCTGCATGGCTCCTTGCCTTTAGAATCTTTGCCTTCGTCCTTCTCCTCGTGATGTTAATCCTATATGCCGCCGCGGATGGCTCCTCCATTTTCTACTTCTATACCCAGTTAAGTATATACATACCCCCAGGTTTGATGATCTAGCTATCAGACTTTATTAGTTAGTTAGTTCGTTGAGTTTACCTTCCGGGCCTTCTACTGCACGCACGCACGCACGCACTCTTATTTATTCAGGCCGGCTGGCCACCTTAATTAATTCATTATTGCTATTGTTCTGTTCTGTTCTACCCCCCGAGTAACAATACTTACTCATACTACGTTGCAGGTGGACATCAACATTACTTGTTATCTACTTCGGGGTACGCACGTATATACCAATTTGATCCCCCCTCATATGGTTTCCCAACTTCTTCTAATCTTCATCATCATCATCAGTTCTCCTTTATTAATTAGCTAACTCTGGCCTGATGGATGGCCTCCTTTTATTTACACTCTGTATTTATTTAATTAATGTGATCGATCAACTTCATAGTACGGAGCATATACACACACACACACACATTTGCTCTGAGTAGGATTATATATATACACTCCGTATGATTTTGATATATGATGTACGGGTGTTAATAATATATGCATATTTGCGCATCCAGTTGGGATCACTGCTCTCCATGTACGGCTGTTACCAATACCATAACAGAGTCATCAGCACCGAAACTCATCATCATCATCATCACCACCAGATGATGATGATGATTAATAATGATGGTGCAGGATTTTATGGCAGCAGCCCAATTTCAAAACATGTCCCTCCTCCATTATCACACCACCTCGAACCAGCAGCAGCAAACACAAAAGTTGCACATTTCTGGGGATACATTTTTCAAATCATTTTCCAGGTGCGTACATATATAAGTCTGTCTTTAATTATGGTACCACATACATTTTTCAAAAAAGTCTGTCTTTAATTATGGTACCACATACGCACCACCAGGTTCAATGTTTTTTGAAAACAACAACAATAATAATAATAATATTTGGGGTGCGTACAGATGAATGCAGGGGCTGTAACTCTCACAGATTGTGTCTTTTGGTTTGTTCTCGTACCTTATTTGACCATCAAAGGCTACAATCTGAATTTTGTAAGTATATATGATATGCACTTAGCTAGCTAGCTACCTGTCATCAATTCAAATATGTTTGATATGTATATATACTCTATTGCAGTTGATCATAGGCATGCACTCCATCAATGTTGTTTTCCTGCTTGTTGACACCGTGTTGAATTGTTTGGTACGTACACAATTGCTATTCGTGGCTTGCTTGCCTGCCCGATTAGTTAATTAATTTGAGTACTAGATAATTAAGATGATGATATATATATGTATGATCGATTATATATCATCATCCTATCAATGTGATGATATGATGAACTAATTATTATTGATTGGTTTTCTGGTTGTGATCTTATAATTAATCAAGCGGTTCCCTTGGTTTCGGATTGGGTATTTCTTTCTGTGGACAGCTGTTTATGTCATTTTCCAGTGGGCTCTCCATGCCTGCATCTCCATTTGGTAAACCAACCCCGCCCGCCCTACCTAGCTAGTACATACTCCCATCCACACATTACACATATATCTCTTAATCAATTACTCTATTTATGTCTCCATAAGTATATACGTATTATATATATAGTTTTTGGTTTTCATTACTAGCTATATATGTATTGATGATTGATTACATGCTTGCATACACAGGTGGCCTTACCCATTCCTTGATTTGTCATCTCCATTTGCTCCTTTATGGTATACATACAATACATGCCCGCTGCTAGCTAGCTAGCTGCTTCAGTTCATTCACTCCTATCCTATTATATAATGATGATGATGATGAAAATTTCAGGTATTCATCGGTGGCCCTTATGCACATACCATGCTATGGCATATTTGTCCTGGTAGTCAAGCTCAAACACCACTTGCTATCCAAATGGTTTCCTCACTCTTTTCAGTGCTCCACATGACGATGACAAATAGCCAATTCAATTCTAGCTATCTAGCTAGGATATATACATGTATGCTTTCATCCAATCACACTAGGCTCCCTCTTGCCAAATTATATTGTACCAACATATTTCAATTTAATTCCCTTCTCCATATGTAGGGGGAGGCCAGCAGGCTAGGAGGAAAAACACACATACACAAGTTTGACAGGAAAAAAAAAAGTGCTAGTTATTAAATTGTACGTATTGCACCACTAGTACTAATATAACAATAATGAAATTTTTTTCCAAACATTGACTCTGTTATAATGAACTCTGCAGTATTCATTCATTTTACTTTCTCAAATTATTGAAGCACATAGCTAGACTGCTAGAGTCAATGCACTCTCGGTTTGAACTTGGAAGAACTTATAATCATCAACAATCCTTATCACCCACTCAAGCCAAAGAGAAATTTCATAATGAATTAATATAATCCCACCATCTCATAATTTTCTTCTTTTTTGCTTTTCAGAGTTTCTGACACATTACTTAGATTGTTAATATCTCTATTTATATACCAATATAATTTTATTTATGTTATAAAAATATGATATTTTAAAATTTTATTTCAAAATAAATATATTGATATTAAATTTATGTAATAACTCAATATTTTTTATATTTTATAGTCAAAGTTAGAAATTTTAATTTGATCCAGAAAAGCAATCTAGACGATGATTTCAAGACGGAAGGAATACAATTATACAAATTAAAGTTAGAAACCTCTGACTATATCTTTTTTCCTGTCACGATATCTAATACAACCTGGCAACATTCATTGATGTTCCCACACTTAAACCACAAAAAAACTTCTAAACAAATCATTTCGCAAAAATTAAAGCTACCTAGTATTTGAAGGCCAAGGTTTGCACGGGTATTCAGAGTTTTTGTTCAACAATGTAGTTGAACTACTACTAGTGCGCATATTTATGCAAACTAAAAAAGGTATTGACTTTCCTAAAATACCCATCTACCATCCAACCCATTCTTCTGTCGATTATCACCGAGCTCACTCAGAGACCAATGCAATCATCATTTTAATTGCTACCGCCGCCCCATCCACCCACTTCAATCGCCGTCGCAGCAACCCATATGCTATCATTTTCTCAACAGTAGCGCCGCTGCCCCCATCCCACCACAGCATCGCCGTCTTAACAGCCCCCTACCGCCCCCATTCCCTGACTGCAAACACCGTCTCAGCAGCCCCTCTACAATCATCGTCTCAACAACCTCTCCGCCTTCAACCACATCAATTTCCATCACATCTCTTAGCTTTCTAGCGCGCTGTTGTAGTCATAGTCTAAACATAAACGTCGAGGAGGGATCTAATCGGACTAAATTTGACGAGGATCTGAAGAATCTAACCGATCTAACTATTGCTAGATTTTGGCAGCGATAAGCGATGCTGGAAGCAACGCTGATATAGATGTCGATGGAGAAAATTTCAAAAAGAAAGAATAGGGTAGATCTAGTGGAGAGGAAGAGAATAATTGAGAGATGACAATAGAGAGAGAAATAGATACGTGGTGGTGGCCGGTGGGGGAGGAAGAAAAGATAAGGTGAGGATGGATGGTATGTTTTGTTGATAGGGTAAATGAGACATTTACTTCAAAAAAATTACCAAATAAGGAAATGAGAAGATTATTTGTGTATAGACCAAAAAGAAAATTGAGAAGATTATCTATGGACATAGTAAGTACTCCGTATAATTTAATTTTGGGGAGTGAACTTGAGTAATATATGGAATTGCATATGGAAACATAAAGACACCAATAATTAATGATTAAATGAGGACAGATTAAAGGGACCAGCTAGTACATACTCCGTAGTATATCTTCATATGCACGTAAGATCATATATATCCATCCCTAGCCTATTTTATAAGCACCCCAAGCAAAGTATCACCATTTGGATCACTTAATAGCTAGCCGAGCTAGTTTGTTTTAAAACTCGTCTGGTCTAGTATATATCTAGCTATCAAGCGGCATTAATTACATATACGTACAACACACACATGGATTTATTTTTCTTCTTTATTTATGGAGTAATTACATCAATGATGATGATCAGGACGGCAGATATGGCAGCTGCAACTTACACCAACGGCGGTGGCCATGCGGCGGCGGCATACACATGTAGGTCATATTGTGGGAATTTGAGCGTGGACTACCCTTTCGGACTCCGCGCCGGATGCGGCCACCCGGGATACCGTGACCTCTTGTTCTGCATCAATGATGTATTGATGCTCCACGTCACATCCGGCTCCTACCGCGTCCTCGACATAGACTACGCCTACCAATCCCTCACACTGGACGAACCACACATGTCCACCTGCGGCGCCATCTTCCTCGGCCGCCGCGGCAACGGCTTTGTGGTCGAGCCGTGGCGGGCTGCCTACCTCCAGCCCGCTCCAGACAACGTGTTCATGCTCCTCGGATGCTCTGCCCGCTCGCCCCTCTTCCAAGAAGGATTCCGGGCCGGGAAGCACCTGCCGTGCCGGAACGTGTCCGGAATGGGGTGCGAGGACTACTACGGCTGCCCGGCCTGGAACGACGTTGTCGGTACGCTGCAGCACGACCACGACGGGTCGCCGCCGGTTACTCATCCGCCGGAGTGCTGTGCGGTGGCATTCGGAACAATGAAGGCTATAAACTTGAGCAAGCTGGATTGCCAAGGATACAGCAGCGCTTATAGCCTTGCGCCCCTGAGATTGGAGCAGGGCGGCGGCGGCGGCGCTGAGGGGTGGTCGTATGGGATAAGAGTCAAGTTCTCCACCCAAGGTGGAGGTGGTGACATCTTTTGTAAATCCTGTCGGGCAACGGGCGGATCCTGTGGGTATGAAGCTGCAGCCGGACGCGGCGGCAGTTACACCAATGCCTGCATATGCGGCACCTCGAACTCTACCACAAACTGTGATTCCGCTGCAGGTATGTATATGAAATTTAATTAAATACAACTAAAACATAATGACTTTTATTAAATAACATTATATGTATTTTTCTTCTCAATAGTCAATATAGCACTTTTAGTCATTATGCATTAGTCATTATTCAAGTAAATATTCACCATCACTGGACATTATGTACATTATTAAGTGTTATTTAGGGAATAAAACAATTTAAGTGCTATTTAGAAAAATGAGTTAAGTTTTAGTGCTATTTAATGCAAATATTTATTTTGATTATTAAAAAAATTTGCATGTGATGGTCAATTTTAAATTGGCATTTTGATGGTGTCTTTGTTGAAGTGTCGGCCCTATATATATGATGGAGTCAAAAACTTAAAAGCCACCATCAAAATGCCATTTTAAAGCAAACTTAATCTTATTGGTTCTGATCATCTGATTGAAATAAATTTTAATCTGATCTGAATATAGTTATATTTAAAGTTTTTTCTGATCTGGTCTTAATAAAAATAAGTAATAAATAAAAAAATAAATTGAAAAAGATATAGGATTAGTCTCTACTAAGAGCATCTCCAGTGCATAGGGTATAAAGTAGTAGTATAAAATCAATTTTAAGTATCAACAGTTTTATACACACCCATTTTTATACTCCATCCGTCCGCCTAAGATGTTCTCATTTTGACTTTTAGTGGTTTTTAAGGAAAGTTGAAAAAAGGTGAAAGTTTACCATAATACCCTTAATGAAAATTGGGTGGAGTGTATTAAATGAGGTGGGTGAGGTGTAATAAATAAAGTAAGTGGGGGTAGTTGTGGTATTTTACTTGTTAAAAAATGAAATGAGAAGATCTATTGTGGACAAAGAAAAAGGGCTATTGGGAAGATCTATGGGGGACAGAGGGAGTAACTTTTTTTATTATTCTAAGCTATTTATTCATAATACTTATTTTAATTCATAGTTTAATTATTAGAATGGAGATTTTCACTTAGGAATAAAGTTACAATATGTAAAAGAAATAGTATTAGCTCACAATAAATGAAGAAATAAATGAACCAAGGACGAAATTGAAGCAAATTGAGAAAAAAATCGAGAGGGAAATTAAAAAAAGAGAGGAAAAGGATGAGCAACAGTGACGACATTGTAGAAATAGGAGGTGGGAGTGGTGTTTTGCACTATAAAGCTTTTTACCATTAGATATACACAATCTATTGAAGAGAAATAATAAAAGGTATATTTAAGCATATACATGTACTATGCATCGTAGTTGCTCTAAGAGCATCTCCAACCCAAAGGGTATATGCTAAACTTTACACTTTTTGCCAATTATTTTTAAGTTTTGCCACTCCAGTGGAAAGGGTAAAGGAATAAAGGGTAAAGACCAATGTAGTGTAAAAAACTTGAGGCATAGTCTATATTTACACTATCACTGTAGATTGTGTAAACAATTAAAAAACTAATTTTTATTTCTCTTCCCTTTTGTTCACCCCTCTGCTTGCTTTTCCCTTGTTTTTTATCATCATCTGTATTTGCACTCCAATGGAGTCCAAAGTTGTTTATATGTACATCTTTTCCTTACGGTAATGTTGCTTTGTTCTTCATCTTTCGCTCTCAACACTTTCTTGGTCGTATTTATTTAGTGCTATTCGTCTAATGTTTAGCGCAAAATATATAATGGGTTGTGTGGCAAAAAAAATTGAAAATAGGCTAGATGTAATAAATGTGATCATAATTAATTTTGAATCAAATATTTTTGTAATGAAATATTCTAAATTAATTTGTAGATTTTAAAGTAATAAAATATTATAAAAATGTATAATATAGAAGATATGGTTGGAATGAATATAAAAAAGTGGAGGTGTAAGTGTAAAATGAGATTTACACTACCATTTTTTGTCCTTTGGGTTGGAGATGCTCTAATCTAGCAAGTTTGCTTTAAATTGGCAAAGTCTTATACTTTTACTTTCTCATTTTTTAATTTTAAATAAAGTGAGTGTTGTGTGCAACAGCTGATATTCGCTCCGATTCGAGCAGAGGAACATGGTCGATCATGGGAACAGTAGCAGGTAGCTTTCTTTTGACCTTTTTGACTCATCAAGTGTACCTAGAATACTTCCTTTAATTTCGACAATGTTTTGATCATCAGTTACTCCTTGAACGTTAATTAATCATTGATCTGCATGTTTTTACAGGATTTTTTTTGTTACATTTGTGAACAATGTTCTTGAGAACTTTGGACTTATACTATACTATAGCTCGTTAGAGGGCCTATTTGAGAATAACGTTAGAGAATAACGTCAGCCTTTTTGAATAAAATCTTAATGGTGCAGATTCCTTTTCAAAACGCTAACGCTTATCTCTAATGCTATTCTCAAATAACGTGTCAAAAAGAGTTCTAAACTTTTTTTTAAAATTGACCAAAGAAGTATAATGTTATTCATATAGACATTTTACTATGTGTTGTGTGTTAAAAAGAGGAACAATTGGATAAAAAATTCATGAATTTTGACATGCTTTAAAAAGTGATGGACTGATGGTTATTTTAGAGGTTCAAAATTAAAGTTTTAAATGTCATACTCGCAAGGCTAAAAATGATCATGAACCCCTTGACTCTTTAGCTAATTTCGATAAGTAATGAGGCAAGGTAGCATCCGGGACAAAAAAAAGATCCCTGAGTCCTTTGATCCCTTAGCTAGCTTCGCCAAACAAGGAGACGAGAAGGCCTCCGGGACCAACAAAGGGTCTTGGAACCTCTTGACCCCTTAGCTGATACAGCTAGGCAAGGAGGCCTGCAATACAAAAGAAGATTCCTAAATCCATTCATCCCTTAGCTAGTTTTTCCTAACACTATGTTTGGTTCAAGTAATTTGAGAGGGGAAGGAAAAGAAAATGAAAAGGAAAATATTTTTTTTGTTTGGTTAGAGAGGAAAAGAAAAAAAGAAAGTAGAAGGAAACAAAAATGAGAAGACAAATGTATTAAGAAAAAGGAAAACTAAATTCCTCCTATTTTAGTGAAAAATGAGGAGAAGTTATTTCCTTTTTTCCTTTCCAATTCCTTAAACGAAACATAGTGTAAATAAATGAAGAAATTCGGTAGAAGGGAGCTGAAAAAACTCAACTAATGAAGTTGCACTACATTATCACAATGTTTGGTTCAAGGAATTTGAAAGGTTAAGAAAAGAAAATGAAGTGGAAAACCATTTTTCTTGTTTGGTTATATGGGAAAAGAAAGGAAAAGTGGAAGGAAAAGAGAATGAGGAGACAAAATGTACCAAGTGGAGGGAAAACAAAATTCCTTCCATTTTGGTAAGAAAAATGTGAGAAAACCATTTTCTTTTCTTTTCCTTCCAAATTCTTTAAACCAAACATAGTGTAAAAGTTACAAACATGAAAAACGAGTAAAGACTTAGTATGGGTGGCCGCTACATCTGGGTCGGAAGACCATACTACTGTATGAAGGCGTCTGCGAGGGGTAGCATCATTCATTTGGGCCTAGCTAGGGGTAGCATCATTCATCTTAGGAAAATGATAGGAGTATATCAAAAGTGTACCCCAAACATCTCCCACCCCCTCCATCACCACACAAAAAAGGCAAGAAAAATTCAAAAAAATAAAAAATAAAAATAAAATAAAATGAATGGTTAAGAGACAGGTGGTTTACATTTAGGGTACACCTTTGATGTACCCCTAGCATATCCTTCATTCTATCTCCCCCAAATCTAAATTTTCGCCTTTGTTTTAGTGCTCCTAGGGGCAGCATCATTCATTTTGGGCCAACTTTGCAAATCGACAACAAATATCCAAAAGACTTGTCAATCAATCCCAAATTGAAATACGGAGTAATTTTTATCCCCTCAAAAAAAGTTGATTTTGGTTCCGAGCTCCTAGGGGTGCACCTTAACGCATTTTGGACCAATTTATCAAAGGGGTAAAAATTGTTGAAATTTGGCTCAATGTTTCATGTTGCATGCAAAACATGTGGTAAAATTTCAAGGGAAAAGAACTCGATAATCTCTCAAATCTAATTTTTTTATTTTTGTTCCAAGCTCTTAGGTATACCATCACGTATTTTGGGCCAATTTTTTTAATGGACAAAAATTTAGGCAAACTTGGCTTGAAAGTTCCATGTTGCACGAAAAAATATATTGTAAAATCTCAGGACCAAAATACTTTTCTATCGCTCCCAAATATAATTTTTTGCTTTTGGTTTCGTGCTCCTAGCGATAACATCACACATTTGGAAACAACTTTCAAATTGACAAAAATTAATGAAATTTGACTTTCAGATGACAGGTTGGATGAAAAAACATGAAATTCTGTTTCAGAGCCAAAAGGCTTGTCAATGCATCCCAAATTAAAATTTTTATTCCCCTAAAAAATGGATTTTTATTCCAAGCTCCTAGGGGTTGTACCCTAACGCATTTTGGGCCAATTTTTTTAAATAAATAAAAAATTGTAGAAATTCGACTTGAATGTTCCATGTCACACGTAGAAATACTACGTATATGATAAAATTTCATGAAAAAAAAAACTTGACAGTCCCTACAAAATCTAATTTTTTTATTTTTGTTCCGAGTTCTTAGGTGTACTATCACGCATTTTGGGCCAATCTTTCAAATGGATAAAAAATTGAGAAAACTTGGATTGAAATTTCCAAAAGACTTGTCTATTCCTCCCAAATCTAATTTTTTGCTTTTGGTTTTGTGCTCCTAGGGACATCACACATTTGGGGCCAATTTTCAAATGGATAAAAATTAACAAAATTTGACTTTCAAAATCCATGTTGCAAGAAATGACATGAGGTAAAGTTTCACGGCCGAAAGACTTCTCAATTCATTCCAAATCAAAATTTTAGATCCTCCTAAAAAAATTGATTTTGGTACCGAGCTCCTAGGAGTGTACTGTAATGCATTTTGGCTAATTTTTCAAATTGACACAAAATAAAAGAAATTTAGCTTGAAAGTTTCATGTTGCATGCAAATTGCAAAAATATGTGGTTAACCTCTGGGCCAAAAGGATTATCTATCCCTTTCAAATTTAAATTTGTACTCATGGTTTTGTGCTCCTAGGGGTAATATCATTCATTTTGGGAAATTTTTTGATTTGACAGAAAAATTAACAAAATTTAACTTTTATATTCCATGTTGAATTTCAGGGCGAAAAGACTTGTCAATCTATCCTAAATCAAAATTTTTGATCCCCTAAAAAGAATTGATTTTGGTTCCAAGCTCCTAGGGGTGTACCCTAACGCATTTTGGGCCAATTTTTCAAATATAAAAATTTGATGAAATTTGGCTCGAATATATCATGTTGCATGCAAAAAAATATGGTAAAATATCAAGGCAAAAAAAGTAGACAATCCCTTCTAAATCTATTTTTTTTTATTTTTGTTCTAAGCTCAGAGGTATACCATCAAAAATTCTATGTTGCATGCAAAAATATATGGTAAAATCTCAAGGCCAAAAGACTTGTCTATCTTCTCAAATCTAAATTTTGCTTTTGATTTTGTGCTCCAAGGAATACCATCACACATCTTGGGCCAATTTTTTCAAATTGACAAAAAAATAACAAAATTTGACTTTAATATTATATTCCCCGTTGCATGCAACGACATGTGATACAATTTTAGGGCCAAAAGACTTGTCAATTCATCTCAAATAAAAAAAAATGATTTTGGTTCCGAGCTATTAGGGGTGTACCCTAAAGCATTTTGGGCCAATTTTTCAAATGGATAATTTGGCTTGAATGTTCCATGTTGCATGTAAAAATATGTGGTTAAACTTCAATGCAAAAAAAACTTGACAATCTTTACCAAATCTAATTTTTTATTTTGTTCCGAGCTCTTAGGAGTACTAGCATGCATTTTGGGCGAATTTCTTAAATGAACATAAAATTGAGGAAACTTGACCGGGAAGTTCTATATTGCATGAAAAATATATGTTAAAACCATAAGGCCAAAAGGCTTGACAAAAAATTAACAAAATTCGACTTTTATATTTCATGTTGCATGAAAAAATATGAGGTAAAATTTTAGGGTCAAAAGACTTGTCAATCTATTCTTAATAAAAAAATTTGTTCCTCTCAAAAAAATTAATTTTGGTTTCGAGCTCCTAGGGGTGTATCCTAATGCATTTTGGGCCAATTTTTTTAAATGTTTTAAAAATGAGAAAATTTGGCTTGAATGTTTCATGTTGTATGCAAAAACATGTGGTAAATTTCATGGAAAAAACTTGACAGTTATTCCTCCCAAGTCTATTTTTTTGTTCCAAACTCTTAGGTTTTCATCACCCATTTTGGATATTTGGCTTTAATATTCCATGTTGCATGAAAAAACATGTGGAAAAATTTCAGGGCAAAAAAACTTGACAATTTCTCGCGAATCTAATTATTCTATTTTTGTTTCGAGCTCTTAAGTGTACCACCATGCATTTCCAGACAATTTTTTAAACAGACAAAAAATTAAGGAAAGTTCGCTTGAAAGTTCTATGTTGCATTTTGGAGAAATTTTTCAAATATGAGGTAAAATTTCAATGCCAAGAGACTTTCCAATCCCCTCAAAAAATTGATTTTACTTCTGGACTTCTAGGGGTATACCCTAACACATTTTATGCCAATTTTTCAAATTTATAAAAATTATGGAAATTTGGCCTGAATGTTCTATGTTGCATACAAACATATGTGTACAAAATTTCAGGGCAAAAAAACTTGACAATCCCTCCTGATTCTAATTTTTTTTTAAATTTTTGTTCCATGCTCTTAGGTGTACCATCACGCACTTTGGTCCATGTTTTTAAATGGACAAAAATTGAGGAAGTTTAGCTTGAAAGTTCCATATTGCATGCAGAAATATATTGCCAAACATCAGGCCAAAAGACTTGTCTATCAATCCCAAATCTAAATTTTTGCTTTATGTTTCGTGCTCCTAGTGGTACGCCATAACACATTTTTGGCAAATTTTCAAATCTACAAAAAATTAATAAAATTTGTCTTTCATATTCCATGTTGCAAGAAAAAATACGAGGTTAAGTTTTAGGGCCAAAAGACTTGTCAATTCGTCCCAAATCGAAATTTTTTATCACCTCAAAAAAATTGATTTTGGTATCCTAACGCATTTTAGGCCAATTTTTTTAAATGGATAAAATTTTTTAGATATTTGACTTGAATATTTCATGTAGGATGAAAAAACATGTTGTAAAGTTTCATGGGAAAAAACTTGACAACTCCTTGCAAATCTAATTTTTTTATTTTTGTTCCGAGCTCTTAGGTGTACCATCATGTATTTTGGGTCAATTTTTTAAACGGACAAAACATTGAAAAAATTTGACTTGAAAGTTTTATGTTGCATGCAAAAATATATGATAAAACTTGAGGACCAAAAATTTGACTTGAAAGTTTTAACTCATGTTTTTCATGCAACATGGAATATGAAAGTCAAGTTTTGTTATTTGTTTTTTTTTCAATTTGAAAAATTGGTCCAAAATGCGTGAAGGTACACCTAAGAACCACTACTAGAATTTCGCATATAAGCTGCGGAAATTTAGAGGGAGACTTTTTCGCCTCCAATTAGCGGCAGAGTAGCAGGGGACTATTCTCCCTCTATTTTAAATTTTTATTAGCGGAGAATATTTCCGCATCTAGTGTCGTAGCTAATTGAAATAAATTAGGCGGACATACCCGGTAGAATAATTTAAACTTAAAAAGGGCGATACCAAAGAAATATAATTAAAATATCGACAGACTTGTTCCCCGCTAATAAAAAAAATAAAAAGAGGTGGACATTTGCCTTTCTTTATTATTTTTTTAAAAAATTTACTCCCTCCGTCCATAAATTATCTTCCTACTTTCCTTTTCAGTCCGTCCACTAATTATCTTCCTATTTCCTTTTTTGGTAAAAAAAATACATGTAAATGACTCTTTTGCCCCAGCCCAAATCAATTCCTCCATCACAGCCATTCTTTTTTCAAAACTCAGTCAACATTATCCTTCTTTCAGTCCCCCAGCCATCACAGCCATTCTTGGCTCTTCCGTTCTCCGCCTCCATCACTGCCTATATCGTCACAGCGTTTAATGTCATCAGGCCTTCACCTCCAACATCTTCAATGCCTACAGTGTCATTGGGTTAGGCAAAGTGATGCCACGAACAGATCTATAACAGATCGGCGGCGATGGTAGATGGTGGAGAACTACAGATATCGTCGAAGGTGGTCACCAACACCAACGAAAAGATCTAGACCATATCTTTGATGGCGGGGGTCACGACGGCGAAGGTTGCAGGTTGCCTTCAACCACCTAGAACAGATATGTGACGGCAGGGTTGTAGGTTGTCTTCAACAACCTGAACAGATCTGCGACGGCGGGGTTGCGGACGGGATGTCAGTGACAAGAACTAGAGAGGTCGTCGCCGGTTATGTCGGAGAGTCGTTGTCGGGGGTGCCGGAGACTCGTCGTCGGTGGTGCTGGAGAGTCGTCGGCTGAGGTGGTGTTGGCAAGGGTAGATGAGTCATGGTGCATGGGGTAAATAGTGGTGAGGGGTATAATAAGAAAGTCAATACAATTTTAATGACACACAGTGGATGGAGGGAGTCCTTTAATATAATACTACCTCCGTCCCAGTGTCTTTGTCCACTTTTGACTTTTGGAACTGTTTATCTAAGCACTTTGACTCATCAAATTCTCTCAATGTGTAAGCTTAAATATAGTCATGTGTGATCTTGTTTGATTTGTCTTAACATATAGATTATTAATATATAATTTCTATAATTTTTTAATATACAAATTACAAGATAAAATAGATTAAAGAAGTGCATTGGATGGTGTGCCAAAAGGTAAGTGGACAAAGACAGTGGGACGGAGGGAGTATTTGAGAGTTGATAGCCTAGAATTTTGATGTGGCAATTTAAGGGCTTTAATTTAATTACACGTCAGATCGCATATCTCCGTCCAAGATCCCAGAACCGATTCTTCTGCTCTCTCGCGAGGGACTGGGATCGATTGTACAGAAGGAAAGAAAACCTGCAAGGAAATTATGATTCAACGCTGATTCCTCGCTGCGTTAATGCCAAAAATAGATAGAACAAAAATACTCTATCATTTTTTTCCTTCCCTGTAGCGGCCAAACTCAGAGTAAATTTGGCCGATAGGCTTCCAGTGGACGGCAGCAGACTCGGATCTTCATCTTCTCGCATCCGAAATCTAAATCTGGCATTCATCAGGCAAGCCGAAATTCTAAAGAGCACTGATTTCGGTAAGTTATTTCTCCATCTCGATTAGGATTATATAACAATTTCTAGGATTTTTTGTTGCTGTCTCGATATCAATTACTATTTTAGTTCATCAAACAGAAAGATTTATTTTTTGCTGGTGGGATTTAAAGCTTCTAATTGCCGATATTCAGTGAACAAGCAAATGTTTCATTTTTTAACCTAGATTTTTTCTACAAATAGAGAATGAATATTAATGTGGAAAATACTAATTTCACAGATTCTTTAGTAGCAAGAGACCAACAAATAGTAATAAAATAATACTGTATGTCTTATCAACAATAAAATTGTACGGAGTATAGCTCATAGTCCTTGGAAGTTAGATTTCAACTTTTCTACTATTTTGTTTAAGGGTTTTGTATGATACCAATAATAATTTGTATTTTGTATAAAACATAATTGTATTTTATATGAAAAGTCAAAAAGAAATATAATAAACTAATAAAGTCTTAAATTATATTAATATATTAATTTTTTTGAGCGCATATCAATATCGATATTAGTTATTCTTTTAATATATGCCAAGAATACTTGACAGGTTTTATAAGTGTAGAGTATATATTTACAATTGTTTATAGTTTTCTGGTGGTGTCTTGATGTTTAATGATCTATTTGTGTTTTAGAAGATGTGGGTCAAATGTGCAGCAAGTGAGTGTTGTTAATTAGCATATATGTGTGCTTTAGTTGAAGAAAGCTACCAGATAATGCTTTGATAGTTCCTGACTATACCAACCCAATAGCAAATAAATTGAAACATTTACATTTGGAATAAAGGTACTCTCATGTGTTATGCACTTCTCATGCACCTTCATCCCCTGGGCCTTAGCTACTTTTTCAGCTCTAACGGGATACCAATGAGTTCCTGTCTGTCTGCAATGCAGATGCTCTCTCCCAAATCCCAATTGAACCCTCTTGACATGGCTCACTATCTGCTCTCGCACTCCGAGGACGCCACGACCGTGCATGCATGTATCTATGAAATGCACATTGATATATGCTTCATGTTTTTTAATAGTACTGAATTTTGTTTAATTCCTTAGAAGTTTCTTGAGTTATTTTATTTTGCTCCAGTGAGGTTGGGATGCAAAGGAGTGAATCCAGGTAGTCATCAAGTGAAATCAGAGATTGTATGTTTTATTTTAAATTTTTTTCATCTTCTGTAGGTGGGTAGTTCTTTTTTTGTATTATTACAGTTGCAACTTTTGGGGAGAGTAGGTGTTGCTTGGATTCATTTCCACTGCTAAATTTCCCCAGATTTTGTCATTGGTATTCCCTTGATTAATACATTTATGATTATGGTATGATGAAGTGATGAACATATAAAAATGCTATTATGCTTTGTTTATCTCTTAAAACTTGAGTGGTTGATATCATGCTTTATGCTGCTTTACTTTATTAGCAGCTAAAGATTTTAATTTCATTCCATAAAAAGAGTCATTTTTCAACAACTATAGCTAAATTTCAATCCTTTTAATTTCATTCCATAAAAAGAGTCATTTTTCAACAACTATAGCTAAATTTCAATCCTTCTTTATGGTTAAACTAAATTTAACACCCCTAAATAATGTTGGTCAAATGTATGAAGTATTCACTTTTAAATACAAGTACGTAGTGTTTTGCCTTTTTTCTTAGTGTTTTACCTAATATTCTCTTAGTGTTTTACCTAATCTTCTCTTTGCAGTCAGGGACAAGTTGAGAAGAACATTAATGTGCAGAGTCTGTCTTGCCTCTTGGTGGAGCAGGATAACATGAGGCAAGTGTTTTTTATAAAAAAATGAAGGTGTTTTATAATTGGCATATTTGTATGCTTTAGTGGAAGAAAGTTACCAGATAATGGTTTGATAGTTTGACAATTAAAATTCAAATATATTGACTAAGCCATAAGAGAATGGATTGAAACATTTGAAGTTGGAATAAAGTATTATGTGTATCACTTATAGATTTTGATATCACAAAGTCATGGTAAAAATTGTAAAATGAGTTAAAGTACTTATTCGAAGGATTTGTCAAGCAATAACCTCCCTATTTAGGGAAATAAAATAATTTAACGTGTAGAGAGTAGTATTGATGCATATATGAAGCAATAATCTGCCTATTCAAGGAATTTAAACTGAGACATTAATCTGCGGGATAAGAGTGTTGTGTGTATATAAAGCAAAATCTATAATTATTGATGGTGTGTTCACTTGAATCAGTAAGGGAAACAAAATAGAAAGGAGGACTATATATATTTGTTTCCTTTTCAAAGATGGAATGAGATTATTAAGGACACCATATTGATGGTTTGATGTTTGGAGCTATGTGAAGCAAGGTAAAGGGTGCAAACTTCCAAAAGTGATTGGCTTGAAACACCAACTAATCACAGTATAAAATATGCATTCATACTTGAAACTCTCAAGCAAGAGTCTGATCAAATCATCACAGTTCATTCCCTTAAAAATGAAAAAATAATACTTAGATATAGGGTATTTCATGTTCTTTTTTATCTAAGGTAGTAATAAGTAATAAAAAATATTTTTTGAGTATCTAAAGTGGAAAATATATCTCCTTAATAAAAAATCAGGGGAACACATTTCAAATACAAAGAAAATTTTAGGAAAAATATCTCAAATATAAATGAAAAAATTAGTCATTGATTCAAGATAAGAATACTTTTGAAAAAAACCTTATTACAAAAATAAATTTTGAGAAAATTCTCGAAATTCATTTAAGCCAGGACTTCAGAGGACTATTTGACGAATATTCTTCATAAATTAATGTCTATCGATGAAATATCTAATAATTGAACGCTTAATAAAGAAAAACTGCTTATTATTAAGTTATATTTATGAAGTTTTAACAGACAAAATAAATTATACGAAATTAAGACGATGAATTAATAATATAAATTTCATTTGGTAATGTGAATCTACCATGACCTCTTTTAATCACTACATTACATTTTTCCCAATATATTTAATGTTTTGAAAAAAATTTAGAAAGACATATTTATAATAAAATGTTGTCATAACTTGATGTAATTTAAATTATTACTCATACAACCCCAACTCTATTTCATAACTAAATATATTTTTTCCATGATTGAAAATCAGAGTATTACATAGCATGCAATAGAATGAAAGTATTGTACTAATTTCATCCATGAAAAATGTCTTAAATTAAACTATTTACCAAATGAAATTATTTCTCTTAGACGTATAATTAAATAAAAGTGTAAAATAAAAAATAATACTTAATTTCTTGGTGGCATGCCACTTCCAGCTGATGACCCGCTGAATACGTTTCATAATAATTTCTTGGTCGAAAAGCTAAACTATGACAAAGATAAATTATAGAATGATCTCAAAGAATATTTGTCAACAATGAATGACGATCAAAGAAAAATATAAGATGAGATAATAGAAGTTGTGGAAGCTGGGAGAGGAGGTTTTTATTTTGTGTGTGGTTATGGGGAAAATGGAAAAACTTTTCTTTGGAAATTATTATCTGCTGCACTTAGATCGAATGGTAAGATTGTTTTAAATGTTGCACCCAGTGGTATTGCAGCTTTGCTATTACCGGGTGGTAGGACATCGCATTCAAGATTCTCAATCCCTTTAGCGCTAATTGAATGTTCAACATGTGTGATCAAACAAGGAAGCCCAAAAGCAGAAACAAGCAAGTCTTATAATTTGGGATGAAGTGTGTATACTGAATATATTTGCTTTTGAGGCGTTAGATCGGACCTTGAGAGATATTACGCAGTTCTCTAATAAAAATGCTGCAAATAAACCTTTCAGTGGAAAAACGGTTGTATTGGGGGTGACTTTCGTCAAATACTCCCAGTTATACCAAGAGCTTTGAGAGAAGAAATTGTTGAAGCTACCGTGAACTTATCGAGTTTGTGGTCATATTGTAAAGTATTTACATTGACTAAAAATATGGGATTGCATTTTTCCTCATCCAACCACGCAGACAATGACCCACAACTTTTTTCTGAGTGGATAATCAAGATTGGAGATGGACAACTTGGTGTGGTTAATGATGGTATTGGTGAAATTGAAATTCCACCTGAATCCTTGATCTCGAACTCAAGTTTTCCACTTCAGAGTATAGTGGAATTTAAATATCCAGACTTATTGGAAAATATGAAGGATTATACTTTTTTTTTATGGATTATCAACTTTAGATTAGTTTTAGATGACAACGGTAACACATGCAATTACACGAAAAATGTAGTTTACTCTGAAGTTTTCCAAAAATTTGTAACTAATCGATACGTTTATACGTTCTTTCTAATTTTTTATATACATGAATTTAAGTTAGCATACTCTTTTTATGTCGTATCTAACATTCTATATTATATTTATATTTATTTTTTGTTATTTACTTAAAACAAAAAATTAGCGAAGTTAAAAATAACACGCGTTCGACCCCATGCGTTGCACGGGTTAAATACTAGTAACATATATGGTGGAGACGTGAGGAAAATAAAGAAACGGAGCATGAGGCTAGGGTTATATAGGAGAAAAACCTAGGGTTACTAAACATGGGCCGGGCCTACAAGTCAAGCCCAAGCCTCTACAAACCCAACATTCTCCCACTTGGAGGCTTGATAGTCATCAACTGCCATCCACCACGATTGCCTGTACATCGAGTAATCTTCCACAGCTGTGAATAATTGACTCAGATTGTGAATTGCTTTGTTTCGAATAGAGGTAGCAAAGAGGAGTTTCACATAACATTTGTTTATGATCATAATGATCCGGGCAACAGGAAAGAAATGTGGGCCTCCATTAGGAGTTATTCTTCAGCTATGAGCGGAGCTTGGTGTGTCTTGGGTGATTTCAATGTTGTGTTTTATATGAAGGACAGAATGGGGGGTTGTAGAGTCATTAGGGAGGAGACTTAAGACTTTGAAGCATGTCTTGATGATTGTGAATTAGAGGAGACTCCTTACATAGGGTCATTTTATACCTGGTCAAATAAGCAAGGCCAAGGAAATAGAATCTAGTCTAAATTAAACAGAGTATTAAGCAATGTTGAATGGATCACAGAATTTGGAACTAAAGCAAGTGAAATTTGCAGTGAATAGGACTAAAACATAGGTCATTTTCTAATGTAGGACTTAAACTTTTTAATTCCCTAAATATGACTTAATAATGACTAGTGAGAAGAATAATGTCTAAGTGATGGTTGACATTTAGTTGAGTAATAACTAATAGATAATGACCAATGGTCCTACATTGGCAAATAAAAACATATGGTCCTATATTGAGAAAGTCATTATGTTTTAGCCATATTTAGGTAAATTACCCCTAAAACAATCATTTTGGAGGAAGGGTTTTAGACCACTACTCTTTGCTTATTCCCAATAGCCAATGTCAGACAATAAAGAATGAGTTTAAATATTGTGAAATGTGGAAGCTAGACCCCAAGTTCTAAACTATTCTTAAGGAGGCCTAGGCTAAGCAAACTGAAGGCAACCTAATGTTTCAACTATTGCAGAAGCTTAAAGCTTTGAAGGCCCCCCTAAGAAAACTAAATAAAGATAAGCTCCATCAGATCTATAAGCAAGTTGAAGTGGTTAGGTTGAGCTTGAAGAAACTCAAAAGCAACTAAAGAAAAGCTTAAACTACAGTGAATGGTTACATAAAGAGAAACAACTTGCAAAAGAATATCATCTGAAACTCAAGGCAACATTCCTTATGAGGAAACAACAATCCAAGATGGAGTGGATAACTGAGGGTGATCACGGCTAAAAAAATGATTCATGCATGGATTAAAAAGAAGCATATACAGAACCATATTGTATCCATTAAGGAGAATGATGGGTATTTGGCAAAGAACTTAGCTAGAGTGGCTAAAGTGATTATTGAGTATTACCAAACTTTATTGGCTTGAATGCCCACAAAGAAGATTTTGGAGCCGGAAGCAAAGTAAGGCAAAAGCGGTTCTTCTCTAGAAGATTAAGAAAGGGGAAATGCATTTAGAATCATGCATGAACCCCTATAAATCTAATAATTGGTCAGATTTATCAAGTGGCAGATGAAACATGTATAGCAAACAGAACACTCATGTTCCACAAACACTCAACGCAAGAGACAAGTAAGAATTGACCTCCACATAAAACTCTCTGTTTGTTTTATACAAATTCATGATAATACCTGTAAGATACCATATGAAACTATGTGAACGTAATTTGAACTAATATGATACCAATACATCTTATGCTCCCACACAGTCTTAAATGTCCACAAAGTCTTAAATGTCCACAAAGAAGATTTTGGAGCCGGAGGTAGAGGAAGGCAAAAAGTGGTTCTTCTTTAAGAAGATTAAGACAAGAGAAATGCATTTAGAATCAGGCATGAACCCATATAAATCTAGTAACTGGTCAGATTTATCAAGTGGCAGATGAAACATGTATAGCAAACAGAACACTCATGTTCCACAAACACTCAACGCAAGAAAATTCTATGAGAACACATTCTAACATATATTTCAATCAAAACATATCGAAAAGTGTGAGAAACAAACAACTCAATCTCACAAATGTCAGTTTTTTTGACATCCTTGTTGTTCGCGGAAATAATGAAGTACCACCCTTATATACCTCACAATCTCAGACAAAGAACCTTCATTATACTTCGGCGATGCTCTTTGACACTTACCTCTTGCTTGCCATACAGAATACAATCATACACTGACCTTAGAGGGATCTTACCATGTCATTCACCCAATGAAATATTATACGCACCCTGCCATACCTGTAAATAAGTTTAGCCCATTTTTTGTTTAGGTCAATATCAGTCATGTACTGATTGTATTAGTTCATGAAAAATGAAGCCCTCTCTTGTACATCCTACAATCTCAGGAAATTCTTTAAAACAAGCAATTTTCAGTTTTTACAACTATGAAAAGGATATTCCCCAAGCAAATCCAACAAGTGCACTAACTCTGCATCTATCATCCTCTACGAAATATTTTCCCTAGAACCCCAATGAATTCCTTCATATCATTTCTCAACAACTTCGGATCAAACAAATCCAAATCCATCCACTTCACCCTCCCCACCAACTCCGTCCTAAAACAAGCTTTTTTTGCCCCAACATGATTCTTTTTAACATGTTGGGTTAGCTTGTACGATTTTGTTAATCCTAGTCTATGAGCACTTCATGCCTTTAGGTGATCCAAAGCAGCAACCACAAGCGATTTGAATAACAGTCGGACTCTCTCTTCAGCCTAAAACCCCCTATTTCCCATACTCTGTGAGCCATCTAAACTCATCTAGGTAACGGTTCAAAAGCCAACATGAGAGTGAAACTGGTTTAAGGTAGTACAATATCTCGTCTCCATTAATGAACTTGGAAAAATCCTGAGAAGACTATGGGACTAGACAGTTCCTTGCATTAGCACCATATCCATAAGCAATATCTTCATCATCCTCAACGCACATCCTCCTCTTCACCCATTTCTCCTTTATCCCCCATAACAACTAAATATGTGTTCTCAATCCTGGCATCAATTAATTTGTAGAACACATGAATCAAAGGATCACCATGCCATATAATAATATCATATAATAAAAAGACAGAAATGAAAAATGAACAATCTAAAAATTTGGCACAAACAAAATAATACCACTCAATTAGATTGTCTCATTACAGGAATTAGGTGGCAGTAGACCATTGAGAACCACTAATTATTAAGTGTCCTTGCCCCACCATAATTATGTATGGACCGTTGCCCTCTTCCTCTTCCCTTCTATATATTTCATCCTTATTCATTCTCTTCACCTCACTCATAATTCTATCTGTTTTTGCATTATATATCTCGATGCATCCCTATCTTCTATCACTTCTTGGTCAGAATAAAGAAGGCAGTGTACAAAGCCACCAACTTCTTCAATGACAACAAGAAGTCCAAGGCGGAGGATAATGTTTCTGACCAAAAGTGATAGAAGATATGGATGGATTGAGATAAATAATGCGAAAATGTAGAGAATTATGGATCCCTGGAAGAGATGAAGAGAATGAAGAAGAAAGATGAAATATATAGATGAGAAGAGGAATAGGGCAACGACCCATATATAATTATGGTGGGACAAGGACACTTAATAATCGGTGGTTCCTAATGGTCCACTACCGCCCAGTTCCTGCAATGAGACAATCTAATTGAGTAGTATTAGTTTGTTTGTGCTAAATTTTTGGATTGTTCGTTTTTCATTTCTTTTTTATTATATGTTATTATTATATGACATAGTGATCCCAACTTTTGACTAATGTGTTCTCCTGCAAATTTATTGATGCCGAGATTGAGGGCCACATATTTGGTTGTTTTGGGGGATAAAAGAGAGATTTGTGAAGATGAGGGTGTGTGTATTGGGATGATGAAGATATTGCTTATGAATATGGTGCTTATGAAAGCAACTATCCAGTCCTAAGTCTTCTTAGGATTTTCACAAGTTCATTGATGGAAACAAGATACTGTACTATTCTACACCAATTTCACTCTCGTGTTAGCTTTTAAATCGTGATCTAAATGAGTTTAGGTGACTCACAAAGTATGAGAACGGGGGGGGGGGGAAGATGAAAAGAGAGGTTCTGGTTGTTATTCAATCGCTTGTCGTTGTTGTTTTGGATTACCTGGAGACGTGGGGTGTTCATGGGAGACTAAGATTAAAGAAATCGTACAAGCTTACCCAACATGTTGAGAATCACGTTGGGGCAACAAAAACTTGTTTTAGGACAGAGTTGGCGGGGAGGGAGGAGTGGATGGATTTGCTTGATCCAAAGTTATTTAGAAATAATATGAAGGAATTCATTGGGGCTTTAGGGAAAATATTTCGTGGAGGGACGATAGATGCAGAGTTGGTGCACTTGTTGGATTTGCTTAGGTAATATCCTTTTCATAGTTGTTAAAGATGCAAATTGCTTGTTTTGAAGAATTTCCCGGATTTCTTGGATGCACAAGAGAGGGCTTCGATTTTCATCAACTGGTACAATCGCTACGTGACTGATATTGACCTGAATAAAAAATGGGCCGGACTTATTTATAGGTTTTCCGGGGGTGCGTATAATATTTCTCTGGGTGGATGGCATGGTAAGATCCCTCCCAGGTAAGTCTATGATTGTATTCCGTATGGGCAGGCAGGAGGTGAGCCAGGAGCATCGCCAAAGTATAGTGAAAGTTCTTTGTCTGAGATTGTGAGGTATATAAGGGTGGTACTTCATCATTTTAACGAACAGCGTGGATGTCAAAAAACTGACATTTGTGAGATTGAGTTGTTCCTTTCTAACACTTTTTGATATGCTTTGCTTAGAATATATGCTGGAATGTGTTCCCATAGAGTTTTCTTGAGTTGAGTGTTTGTAAAGCGTACATGTTCTGAGATGTGTCGTTTTCTCTACATGTTTCATCTGTCACTTGGTAAATCCGACCCGTTGTTAGATTCACAGAGTTCATGCCTGATTCTAAATGCATTTCTCTTGTCTTAACCATCCTAGAGAAGAATCACTTTCTGCATTACTTTGTCTCTGGCTCCAAAATCTACTTCTTTGTGGGTATACAAGACCGTGGGGGAGCATTGGCTGCATTGCTATTATATTAGTTCAAATTACATTCACACAGTTTCATATGTTATCTTGTAGGTATTATCATGAATTTGTACGATACAAATAGAGATTTTTATGTGGGGGTCAGTTCTTGCTTGTCTATCTATTATCCTCTATATTTAGTTTCTTCCACGTATTAATGAACTAGTATTTTTACCCGTTCGACGCACGGGGTCGAACAAAATTTTTGTCGATTCCATTTTTTTTAAATGTAATATATTTTTCGGAATTAAATAAAATATATTTCTAACACGATTTTTAATCAATGAACAACGATAAAGTAGAATAAATAATAATTGAGGAACTCGAAGTGTACTCGAAAAAATCTTTTTTAATTCCAAATTTTTTGAAAGAGTTTAGGGTACACAACATTTTTGGTATCATCTAGAACCAATATTTTTTATGATGTTTTTGCTTTCACTCATGAAAAAGTAATATAAAGCTAACCATGAGTAAATACTAAATTGGTTACAAATAATACAACAAAAGACAATGTTTGACCTAGACTTTTGTTAATAGTCATAACAAAATATAATAATATTAAAAATTGTCTTCTTAAAATTTCAAGGGTAGTCCTGAATCAAATGATACCGAATTCATTCGGGGTATATAAATCTTTTTCCCAACTGATTTCCCAAAACGTCAATTGCAGTGATAATGTTCTTTCTCAACGATTAATCTTCTACCATTACACAATCCAGATATTTGATCAATGTTCTTTAATGACATAATTGGTACTCCATTTTTAAAAATTATTTTGTGGTTTAGGATCCCGGAAAATTTGATTTTATAAAAAAACTGAAGTGTTATCCAATTGTTAACTTTGCATGAAGAATCAAAAATTAAGTACTCTTTTTCACCTCCTAGAATAAGGGATATGACAAATTCATTTACCATTCAACAAACTCGAGCGTGAGTGATAATACTCCACTATCCTTAAAAAAATAATTTTTCATGTTCTCTAGTAGGTTCGGATAAGTGAATTCCATTGTTCTCTCGAGGGGATAACTTATTTCAAGAATCAAGAATTCAGGTGGGATTTCAACGTCAGCAATTCCATTGATCACTTGTCTAAATTTTCCATCTTTGACTTTGATTATCCAATCAGAAAAAACTTCGGTGTCACAATCTGTGCAAGAGATTGTAGATTAATGCAATCTCATACTTTTGGTCAACGTATAAATTTTACAATACAACCACATTTGTGAGGAATTGGTGGTAGCACCTACAATTTTCACTCTAAAAGCTATGAGTAAAATTGAAAGAATTTGGATAGAATCACCTTTGAGTATAATTGTTTTTCCTTCGAATGGTTAATTTATGAAGTTATTATTAGATATACTCATTACATCTCTCATTGTGCAATTCAACGTCTCAAAAGAAAATATATTCATCGTACTACTACAAAATTGACATTAGACGGCGCATCATACACATCAGTTATAGGGAAAGTGCTGTGTAAACCCCATGAACAAAGCCACACATTTCACCAAAAAAAGACCCAACTATCTACGTAATTTTTTAAACTTTTACCCATCGCGTTTTAAGATATTCGTTGTTTATTTTTTTTATCGCGTCTCTCTACTCAATAGGAATATCTATATTTTCCCCCAAATATCAATAAGTCCTACAGTTCTGCCTCTTCAACTTTCGGATCTCCATCGAGAACCCGACGCTCGCACACCCACCCCATTCGACTCTCCGCACAGGTGCACCAGAGTTTGAGGAATCAAAGTCAAAATCGGGAGAAATTAGGTGTCAGGTTTGTGGTGGCTGCATCTACAATCAAGCATGGAAGCATACTGTAATCAACAAAAACTGTTAATTTAAGGTACGTGATGAATAGTCCCTATAGTTTCATCTCTCTTTTTTGGAATTCCAATTTTTAGGGTTTTGTGAAATTTTGTTATTGATTTTTTTTGCAAAATTTGTGTATATTTGATTTATTGGATACTTTGATATTTGATATTTGATAAATAGTTTATTATATTATAATTATTTTATATAATGATAATTTATTGTTGGAATTTGTCAATTTGAGATTTAATTTTTAAGTCTAAAAAAGAATAGTAATCTGGTGTTGATTGAAACTTGTCAATTTGTGGGATGTGTTCTAATTTTGCATATCAACTCTATCAGATTCTTCATGCACTTTCATTGGGAAATCGTTCCAACTTTTACATGGACTTAATAATCTAGGATGGTTTTGACTATTGTAGAATTTGAGATGCATATCTTGTTTATAATAGCAGCATTTACTTTTATATGTTTTATTTTGATAAGTGAGTCTAATATATCTCCCTTGATCTGGTATATTACACTATTTTATTTGCAACATTTCAACAAATGAGTATAAACATTAGGTTCCTACGTAGCACTTTAAGTATTTCAAATGCTCGTGTTTTCAATCACATTGATATTTAATATGGCCTACTCTGATGGCTTGTGCTAATAAGTACAGTGGCTTGCTAGCAATCAAGTTGAGTTTTTCATTCTTCTTTGGTAGAATGGATTGGTCATCAGTACTTTTTTTGGAAAGTACACTTCCAATGGGCTTTTCGGATTAAACAGGTTGCATTTGAAAGACATTATATAGTAAACCTTACATTTAATTGGTTGTGAATTTTATGTAGAACCAAACTTTTCTGAATTGAAAGACATTACTTTGAAAACCCAACTCTAGCCTGAAATGACAGTTAGTTCATGTATACTATAACAGCCATTATTAACAAAATTATTTCTTGTAGTCATCGGTTCAATGTTAAAGATAAAGTATCCCTTCAATCTCATTACAAGTTAATGCTTACAATGATCGAGTTTGTTGGTGTGTACGTGCTGCATTCTCTTACGAAAATTATTGATTAAAGGGTCTACTAGAAATTAAAATGAATATTGATATGAGAAAAGAAAACAAACAGAGAGTTGAGGAATTAGTTGATTACCGAAGAAGAATTATGACTCCTTAAGTTGAGTGGAATATAAATGACATGTTTTCTGTTCTTTATTTTTATTTTCACTGTCTTTCATGTGGTTGGATATCATTAAAAAGTTTGCAAATTTCTGTGTCTTGTCTTTAATTTGTAGGCAAGATCTACTTCACAGCTATGGTTTGAGCACTTTTATACATCGCACTTTATGAAAAGGTGGTTAGATTCAGAAAGTAGCTTTGTTGCACAATGGTTGATACATTTCTCTAATTG